TCTGCTCTCTGGGAAATATAACTATTTTCAAATGTGGTTTCCCTCTAAGGCCTTGTAGACTCAAGGCTGGAGGCTGGCTTCTCTGTTTCACATTCCCAGGTCCCCGGCACTAGCAGAGACATGGGAGTGGGAAGTTGTCTGTGTTGCTGGGGACGGGGAGGACTCTCCCAGCATCTCGGAGGTAGATGACTTTGCCAAATAGCCAAGTGGTTAAATGTTGAGGGCTGTAAATGAGGCTCATCTGTCAGTCGTGGGCAGGCACCAGCTCCATCTGCTGTGTTGGGAGCTTGGAGAATGATTGGAGGAAGCAACTTGTGGGAGCTTGGAGAATGACTGGAGGAAGCAACTTGTAAAACGCAGGGCCCAAGATGAGAGGCAGAAGCATTGTCAGGAGATAGTAGAACTGGGAACCTTGAAGACTCTGTCAGTCCCCTTAAAAATTTAACAGATGAAAAGAAAAACAGACAGACCCAGAGAGAGGGATGAGTTTACTCATGGTCACCCTACAAATATGTCAAGACGAAAGCCAACTCTCTAGAATTCTAGATTACTTCTCTCTCCGTGCACGCACCTGACCCATCCTTGCAGCTAATCCATGGATGGAGGAGAATGCTCTGAGCAACTTGAGAAGAATAAAATACCTAGTTCCTTTGTCTGCGCTCACAAGTGTTCTTCAAGTTCAAGTACCTTCTCTTCTTTAAAGAACCTCAAAATAGATGTGATTATTCACTCGTTCATTTGTTCACTCAATAATATTTTTGAAATGTCTCTATGTGCAAAGTATCATTCCAGGCACTGGAACAACATCAGTTACAAAACATGAACCTGGCCAGGCGCAGTGGCTCACGCCTATAATCCCAGCACTTTGGGAGGCCAAGGCAGGTGGATCACGAGGTCAGGGGTTTGTTTGAGACCAGCCTGGCCAACATGGTGAAATCCTTCTCTACTAAAAATACAAAAATTAGCCAGGTGTGGTGGTGACTGCCTGTAGTCTCAGCTACTCAGGAGGCTAAGGCAGGAGAATCGCTTGAACCCAGGAGGCGGAGGTTGCAGTGAGCCTAGACTGCGCCATTGCATTCCAGCCTGGGCGACAGTAAGACTCCGTTTCAAAAACAAACAAAACCATGAACCTAGTTCCTGCATCCAGGAGCCAATAATCTAGTGAGCAAGACAGATACTAGTTAGAGGGAAAATCATGTGAGTAGATATATGCTTCTCAATTGTGCTGTTTTTCTGGGGTTTTTTTGTTTTAAAAAGTAGAAGTATTGAGCACTAGTCTTGCCTAATTCACATGTGGTGGGATATTATGAAGAACTGACTTTTTTTTTCCCCCACCCATTTTTGTATACAGTGGCACTGCGTTATTGAGCAGATGGCCACAGGGCAGCCAGAGTCTCTGTGGAGAGTTTGTGCGACAGGACCAGACCTCAAAAGAGCCATTCTGGGATTTTGAGTTTCCAAACATTGTATTGCTATGGATGAGCATTTGCTGAGCTAGCTTTTGTTTCTGGTCCAGAAGGTATGAAGAATCTGGGCTCTAGGAGAGGAAACAGATCAGAGAGCAATTAAGTGAGTTGCTAATGCGTTCTCTGAGAGGGGGTTCTGTACACTGTGCATGGTGCAAACAAAGTGCAGATTTTCATAACCCTCAAATTCCCAACCACACCTGAGAGTTTCACCTTGGATCACAGCTCTTTCCTGATGGTGGGCTGAGCTGAGAAAATGAAATGCAGAGAGAATCAGGCTTTCCCCAGTCAGCAAATTCAGGGGATCCCCAGCTCTGGGCCCTCAAAGATCAAAAGCTGAGAGACAGTCTATAATTGGAGTCATGTGTCCTCCCCAGCCTCCGAGTTAACCACTTGGATGAATAACAGCGACTCAGCGTCGTGGCCTCGTTATTGTCTCAACATCAGATTAAGAACAGAGAGGGGAGAAGAGATGTGGGTGATCTGAGGGTTGCAGATCTACAAGGCCATTATCTGTCTTGAGCTTCGGCCCACCCTACCACCCACTCCTCCATGTGAGGTTATGATATAACAATAAGCCTGCAATTATATTTTACTTGTTGGGGGAAAAAAAACAGTGGTGAGTCAAAAAGCCAGCTCAGAGATGGAACTAGTTATGTGAGTGGGAGGGGGCCAAGCCTTTGGCTGAATTCAGAACTCCCACTATGGGTCCGTGTTCCTGGGTCTGTCTGGCTGTTTTGGGCTGGACTTCCCAGTGTCTGTGAGTGGCACTTGGCCCTGAAAGGCATAAAACCATCAAACACAAGAGTGGTGGCATCAGGCAACAGTTAAGATCCAGGTTCTAATGAGAGTGGACTGTGAGATCTGGACAGACTTTGGGGTCAGGACACGGAAGTAGAGAAGTAGGCGTGGTGTGACCAGTGTGATCAGAGACAAAAGAGATTAAAATGGGCACCTCTGCAGGTGTCAAGACAGCTGACTCATGTCAGCCAAAAACCAAACTGGTTAGCAGAAGTGACTGCAGGCACATAATGACCAAAGGCCATACCTAGACCCCCCCAAATATCCCTGGCTATGTAAGCCCCCTCCAAATCTAAATGAAGTCTTAGGGACAAGGATAAAGGTAGAATAAATTGACTAAAGAAACTGTAATCAAGTAACAGAGGTTTTTAACATTAGGCATGTTTTTATTTAAAAAAAAAACAGAAATTAAGCTAAGTTATAAAAAAGATATTTAAAGTTACATTTAAATGTAACTTTAGTAGAAAACAAAATGCCATGCCTACTTAAGTTACATTTAAATGTAACTTTAGAGATTTGATTTCGCAAGAGACAGAGGGAGAAGTGAGAACATACCTCGGTTCAAATCTCAGTTCTGCCAACTCAATAGCCCTCTGGATTTGTACCTAACTAGCTTCTCTCTCTTGCATGGTCTACTCATATGTGACGGTCTAAGGAAAGTGAGACCACTGCCACCCACCCTTGGAAGCACATGAAAGTGTGTGTGGGGGGGGGGGTGGCGTATTTTATTATCAAAGTGATACAGGGGAGGCTACTAGCATTGGGCACCAGGGTTGCTAAAATGTCCTGCAATGTGTGGTGTCCCACAGAGATTCATCCCACCCAATGTGCCCACCATGCCCGTGCCGAGAAACACTGGAGCTAATATTCCAAGTTCCTTTAAGACCAGATGAAGAATAACTTTCAACTAGCCCTACCTCTCTTACAGGTCACAGTAATCTTTACCTCCTGCCTGGCCAGCCGTGGGCATGAGACTGAATCTGTACCCATCTCAGAGCCCTCCCCTGGGCATGTCTCACTCAAATCACACAACTTCCCAGCCTGCAAATAATTTTTGTCATCCATTCTCTCATTTACTCCTTATAACATCTCTGGAACATAGGGAAAAAATCAGATCTGTTTTATTTCTGATTTATTTTATTTGTGTGTGTTTATTTTGTATTTTGGAGAGGGAGTCTCATTCTGTTGCCCATGGCTCACTGCAGCCTCGACCTCCTGGGCTTAAGCAATCCTCCCACCTCAACCTCCAGAGTAGCTGGGACCACAGGCATGCACCACCATGCCCAGCTAATTTTTTCTTTTCTTTCTTTCTTTTTTTTTTTTCTGGAGAGACAAGGTCTCACTGTGCTTCCCAGGCTGGTCTCTAATTCCTGGGCTCAAGCGATCCTCCTGCCTTGGTCTCCCAAAGTACTGAGATCACAGGCAGGAGCCAGCTACCACATCCATCCCAAACCTTTTTTAAATGAGGGAAAGTGAAGCCAAGAGCTAGCATCTGATAGGCAGCTCTGGGACTGAAGCTGAGATTATTTCATGCTGAATGCAAGCCTCTTTTGGTGTCCTGTGCTGAGGACCAGGACCCAGTCATAAATTTCTCTCATATCTTTGCCTAGGTCTATTATGGGAGCTCAGGAAGTACCTGGAGCATAAAGGGCCCTTTCCCCAAAAAGAAAAAGGAGTCTTTCTTTTTCTATCTCAGAGCTGCCTTGGATCCAGAGAATATAAAGGAATCAGCTTGGCTCCTTTGGACCTCTTACACTCCCACAGGCCTCCCTGGTCTCCTTACCAGGAAGAAAGAGAGAGATGGTTTCATCTTCGTATGAAACCAGTGTCTTCCCTCCGCACCTCACCCCATGTGAGAGGAGGGCTTTGCTACTCACCCTCTCAAGTCCAAAGCCCTCTTGGCCTTCTCCATCACCTCATCTCTCCATCCCCAATAAGGGGTCCAGTCCTGGTGATTCTTTCTCATAAACATTTCTCAAATTTCTTAGCCTTCATCCCTGCCCCCATTTCTGTCTCCAGTTTGCCTGTCTTAATTCAGGCCATTGCCATCTCTCTGAGGATCAACATGGTCTTAAGGAAGAGGTATAGGCACCAATGGGCTCACAGCTCCTTAACTCCCAAGAGACAGTCAAGGACCCTGACAGTGATGAAAGGGGGCCAGATTGTAAGGTGCATGAGAAGGAGGAATATCTGGGTTTCCAGAGCCCAGCATAAGGCAGGGACCAGAGGAAAGTCATTTTTGTGTTGGGTAGACAAACAGGAGGCTGGAAATGGTTGCATGAGAAGGCCCCATAATGAAAATTAAAACCCAGAAAACAAACCAACAACAACCAAAACCAAATGCTATATTTTACAAGTTTATACAAGCCAGAGGTATAGGATAATAAATATCAAGTTAGTAAAGACCTTAAAAATCAACCAGTCCAGCCTCTCATTTATTGAGAACGAAGGATGGGGATGGGAAACTGAGGCCCAGAGAGGCGATATGACTTGTTTAAGGCCCCAGCATATCCCAGACTGTGGAATCTGCCAGGACTCTGACTCCTCAGTCACTGCTACATTTCCCAGAATGCCTTTTCCCCATTTCTTCTTCTAGTTTATCACTCCAATCAGCCATCATCTCCTCCAGGAAGCCCTCCCTGAACCTCCAAGCTGGGTAAGATGCTCAACCACTTTCCTCCAACAGACCTGTGAACTTACTCTGGCTTAGAATACATTGACCTGACTCTGTTGTAATTGCTGGGCTTTTCATTTGTCTTCTCCATTAGACTACAGTTTCCTAATCTCAGCACAATTGACATCTTGGGAAGACTCACTCCTGGCTTGGGTGGGTGATAGGGGACTGTCCTGTGCATTTCAGGAGCTTAGCACATCCTTGCCCACCTGCCTCCTGCAAGTTGTGACAACCAAAAATGTCTCCAGCTATTGTTAAATATCCCCAAATAGGGGTGGGGAGCAAAATTGCCCCCAGTTAAGAACTGCTGATCTAGATTGTTAGGTCTATGCGGGCAGAAACAGTGTCTTCGTGTTCTTTACACTCCCATTATGCAGCACAGGTCCTGGAACATAGTAAACATGCAATCAGTTTAATCTACACACACACGCACACACACACGCACACATATATGCTATTTCCACATTGTAGTGTCTGAAATATATAGAATATATACATATATTTCAAAGCATATAAGAGTTTTGTCCATCTAGGATACCTTCAGCATTTCTGTGTGTTTATATTGCATTGTTAACACAAAAGTAAGGTGTTAAACAAAACTTAAAAACTCTTTGTTTCTGGATTGGTAAATGAGTGAGAATGTGTGTGTGTCACACACACACATCTCTTCTGACTGACAAACGGTTCCTTTTCAAATAATATTCACATGGAGAAGAAAATGTATTTTCAATGAAACAAAACCTTTTTTCCATTTGATAAAAGGGACATTATCGCAGTCATTAAAGCATCATTATATGTTGAGCTCCTAACGCACTGGTCTTTACTTGGGAGCACATGGCAATCACAAAAAAGAATTTTTATTGCCAGTTGAACAGATCGGGAAGTAAGATATTATGAAATGTGCTATTAGGCAGCAGATAAGTAATTAGGTGACAAGCAAAATACATTATTCGGCATTTCAAAATATTTCCACTTCATCACCAGTTCATTAAAATCCCGCCTCCTCTCTTGTGGCCCACTAGGAATTTACGTCAAGATTATTTACCAAAAAAAAAAAAAAAAAAAAAAAAAAAAATTCATCATGGCAAGTGAATTGTAATTAAGTCATATCATTGTTCTTTGTACTCTCTCATGGGCCTACACAGATAAGCGAAAACAGACTGATATTGCTGCTGGAAAACTCAGTGATGGCTCTTCTTGCCAGCATGAAGGTGATGGTGAAATGGTGTTTTCATTGTTATTTCACACACAAAAAAAGAAACTGAGGAGCCCTAGATGGTGACACAGAGAGGAAACAGTCAAGACCAAAGTCAAGATGGTTGTGTATATTTAAAGAGGCTTCATGCACATGTTGATTACATGCTATGACTAACGACTCAGTTACTAATTCCCTTGAGGATGAACAACCAGCCAGTAACCTGGCTTTATTTAGTATCTATTCCTAAAGCCACCTGTTTAATTAAGGACTTCTTATGCACTTTGGACTACAAAGATGTGCAGGTGTTATAACTAGGAAGCCTTCCAATCCCCTAGGCATCTTAAGCATCTCTGCAGAACCAAGCATAAAGTTAGTACCCATTTAATACTCACTCATTGACTGATTTGATAACCAACTGATTTAATAAGCACGATAAGCAAAGCAGAGTCCCCAGTTGAAAAAGAAAACATCCCTGAATCCTAAAGTTAAAAGAAGCAAGACATATTCAGTTAGCTCATTTTATAAAGGCAGAAGAGGAGAAGGAAGGAGGGAGACGGGGGAAAGGAAGGGAAGGAGAGAAAGCGGGAAGGAAGGAAGAAAACTGCCTCATATACATCCAGCATACCAAACACTAGGATGAGCATTTTCATTTGGGTTATTTCACAGAGTAGCTACTGTAAAACCAGAAGTAAGTCCTGTTATTAGTATCATTTAACAAATGAGAGAAGAATCCGAGAGATAAAGCAATTCACTCAGCATCACACAATGTTGCAATTTTATCATATGCATACGAATGTCAGCACATGTATGCACACATGATCATGTCGCCTACGTTACTCCAGTGGTTACCATTCTCTCAGGATAAAGATGACAGTCCTTACCTGGCCCACACAGCCCCCACCCACCCCTCCAGCCTCGTGCCATGTCACTCCCCACTCTCTTGCTCTTGCTAAACTTTTAGCCACCTGGTCTCCTTTCATTTCCCCAAATGCTGTTTGTTCTTTCTCTCCCAGGGCGGAACCCTGGCAAATACTATTTCCTGTGCTGGAAGCACCCCCATTCATCTGCTCACCCCTGCCTTCCTTCATGTCAGCTTCAGGGAAGGCGTTCCTTGATTCCTGCCCGCGCCCCCGCCTCCTGCCATTCACTCTCCCAGCACTGCACAAGTTCCTCCTCCATGAAATCTACTCCATTTGCAACTTCATGCCAGTCTCTGTGATTTGTTGATCAATGGGTAGCCCCTCCATGAACTAGAAGCCTGATGTGGTTTGGGGAGATTTGCTCCCCTGCCCCAAATCTCATGCTGAAATGTGATCCCCAGTGTTGGGGGTGGGGCCTGCTGGGAGATGTTTGGGTCATGGGGTGGATCCCTCACAAGTGGCATGGTACCCTCTCTACTGCCTTAATGAGTTCACAAGAGATCCGCTTGTTAAAAAGAGTCTGGGATCTCTGCTGCCTCTCTCTTGTTCGCTCTCTTGCCATGTGACACGCCTGCTCCCCCTTCAATTTCGGCCATGATTGGAAGCTTCCTGAGGCCCTCACCAGAAGCAGATGCCAGCACCATGCTTCTTGTACAGCCTGCAGAATGGTGAATCAAATAAACCTCTTTTCTTTTTCTTTTTTATTTTTTCCTTCAACTTTTATTTTATGCCTGGTGCAGTGGCTGACACCTATCATCCCAGCACTTTGGGAGGCCGAGACGGGCGGATCACCTGAGGTCAGGAGTTCGAGACCAGCCTGCCCAACATGGTGAAACCCCATCTCTACTAAAAATACAAAAACTAGCTGGGCATGGTGGCACACGTCTGTAATCCCAGCTACTCAGGAGGCTGAGGCAGGAAAATGGCTTGAACTCGGGAAGTGGAGGTTGCAGTGAGCCGAGATGGCACCATTGCACTCCGGCCTGGCCAATAGAGCAAGACTCAATCTCAAAAAAAAAAACAAAAATGTATTTGAAATTCAGGGGTACATGTGCAGGATGTGCAGGTTGGTTACATAGGTAAACGTGTGCCATGGTAGTTTGCTGCACAGATCAACCACCACCTAGGTATTAAGCCCAGTGTCCATTAGCTATTCTTCCTGATGCTCTCCACACCACCCCCAACAGGCCCCAGTGTGTGTTGTTCCCCTCCATGCATCCATGTGTTCTCATCACAAATCTCTTTTCTTTATAAATTACCCAGCCTTGAGTATTCATTTACAGCAACACAAAATGGACTAACACAAAGCCCCTGAGTTCAGGGACCTTGTCTACTTCATTCACCACTGTATCTCCTGCACTCACACAACATACGGCATGCAGAGTGGCTCAGCAGATATTTATCACAGGGATGAATAAATGAACAAATAAACATATATTTTACTTTTTTTTTTTTTTGAGATGGAGTCTCACTCTGCTGCCCAGGCTGGAGTGCAACGGCACGATCTCAGCTCACTGCAACCTCCACCTCCCAGGTTCAAGCGATTCTCCTGCCTCAGCCTCTTGAGTAGCTGGGATTACAGGTGTGCACCACCACGCCTAGCTAATTTTTGTATTTGTAGTAGAGACGGGGTTTCGCCATGTTGGCCAGGCTGGCCTCAAACTCTTGGTCTCAGGTGATCCACTTGCCTCGGCCTCCCAAAGTGCTGGGATTACAGGGATGAGCCACTGCGCCCGGCCTAAACATGTATTTTAAATACCTATTTTAAGTACGCATGTAAGGATTCATAACCAGATTGCCACGCCAGCCAGAGACCCAGTGCAACCCAATAAAGCCCCAAGAGAAGAGAGTGATCCGAAGCTGGGACACAGAGCATACATTTCCACCCAGAACAATCATCTGTCATCATTAGCTTTAGGGAAGGCTAGAGACTATACTACAAAGACGGCATTGCTCTCTGACTTCTGGTCTAGGCTGTTCATAATTGTTTTAGAAATCCAAGGCCAGGAAACTGACAAATGTTTTGTTTTCCTCCTCTTAAAAATGATAAATCAGTTGCCTAGTGTTTTTCATAAATTCTTTAGCCAGAGTTGTGGTTTTCCAACCACAATTCACATTAAGGATTCTTTATGAAAATGGCTATAAGAGAGGAATTTAATGGGATTATGATTTTTTTTAAAGCTCTATCTCTCTAATTAACACCCCAGAGGGGGATTTTTTTCTAACATAATGGCCTTTCAGTGTTAAAAGGGCTTAATATTATGGTAAAATATGTTAACTTTCCTGGCATTCTGACCCAGCTGATAACATGAAAAGGGAACGCATCTGTTTTCCTGAAGCTTCTGCCACCGCAAATGGTGTTGTTTTCAGTATTTTCATAATGAACTAATCAACTGCTTATTCACTAATTGCATCTACATTAAAAACTTATTACCCTGGAAAAGGGCTGCACTGCAATTGACCTTCCAATGGAGCTGGGAGGGGTGAAGATCCCGTGACAACTGTAAGACAAAGGAAATGGCCAAACCCAGGGGCAGGTTTTATTCTTTTCTCTGAAACACATGTGTGGTCTTCCGTAGGGGTCACTGTATACAGAGACTTGGAAATCCAAAAGCGAAAGCTGCTCCCACTTTGCTAAGGTCCATGCCTCAATAGGTTTCACTATAATTATCAAGATGATAAAAACAACGATCATGGTGACAATCCCTCACTGAGCAAAGTGTTCCTGCCAGGCACGATGCATGCATCATCTGTCTCCAGTTCTCATGCCAGCTCTGTGAGGCAGGTATTGATGCCTACTCCTAGTGGTAAACAAATAAGAGCTGAGACAGGTGAAGTGACTTGCCCAAGGCCAAACAGTTACCCAGTGGTGGAAGTGGAACGTGAATCATGCACTTCCGATGTCACTGTCCACATCCTGGGCTCCCAGCATGCTAGAGAATGCAGAATACGAGAAACTAGGTGCTGATGAGATACAGAGCAAATCCCAGCTCACTAGCTGCTCCTAAGCTCTCACTGCTTTCTGGTCAGCTTTCTCTAGGCAGTAGTTCACAATCTCCTGAAGAGGCTCCCTTCTCCCTTTCATGGTGTAGTAGAGAGACAAGCCTTTGCAGTTTGCCACGGCTGGGGCACCTAGGAAGACTACATTTCCCAGCTTCCCTTGCTGGTAGACGAGGACCATGTGATTATATGTTGGCCAATGGAGTAAGGGTAGAAGTGATGTAAGCCGCTTCCAGGCGACTGATGTGGTAATGTTGGAGGCCATAGGTTTGGATGGCATTGCTATGAGATGGAGATGGCTGCCCATGTGTGGCAGAGTTTGTATAGGTAAGAAAGTTTTACTGAATTAAGCTACTGGACTTACAGGTTTATTCATCACTACTATGTAGCCTGGTCTTGCCTAACTGAGCTAAATCTTAATCACTGGCCCTGGGGTGATTAGAACAGGTGGGTAATCAACCCTGAGTGAGCCCATAACGGAGGTGGTTGGGATGTGGGCTTTGGATTGGTTCGTTTGCATAAGACAGTCACGCTTGAAGTTCAGTCCTTTACTATCTCCAGGAAATGGCTAATCCTGAGAGGGGCAGTCCCTCTAGGGTCAGCAAGGTACCAAGACATCAAAGCATCAAGTACAGAAGCTGGAAAATGTGGTTGTTACAGACAGGTGAGTTGAGACCTGAATAATGAGAAGCCATCAGCCATGGAAAGAGTAATAAGACATGCTTGAAACACACAGAACAACATAGGAAATCCAAGAATTGAGACAGAAGGACTGTATTAGTCTGTTCTTGTACTATGTTCTGCTATAAAGAAATATCTGAGACTGAGTGATTTATAAAGAAAAGATTTTGTATTGGTTCACAGTTCTGTAGGCTGTACAGGAAGCATGCCTGGGGAGGCCTTGGGAAAATTACAATCATGGCAGAAGGTGAAAGGGAAGTATGTATGTTTTACCTGGCCAGAGCAGGAGGAAGAGAGAGAGGGGGAAAGTAATACACACTTTTAAACAACCAGATCTCATGAGAACACTATCAGGAGAACAGTACTGGGAGGGGTGGTGCTAAACCACTAGACATGGCCCCCATGATCCAAACACCTCCCACCAGGCCCCACCTCCAATACTGGGGATTATAATTGAGCATGAGATTTGGGTGGGCACACACACCCAAACCACATCAAGGAGTCTCCAGAAACGTAAGGAGAAGGCACAAGCCAAGGGAGTGTTCTAAGAAGAAGAAAGGAGCAGGCAACTGTGCCAAATGTGGCCAAGAAGTGGAGTAAAGTGGCCGGGCGCAGTGGCTCACACCTGTAATTCCAGCACTTTGGGAGACCAAGGTGGGTGAATCACCTGAGGTCAGGAGTTCGAGACCAATGTGAACAACATGGAGAAACCCTGTCTCTACTAAAAATATAAAATTAGCCTGGCGTGGTGGTGCATGCCTGTAATCCCAGCTACTCAGGAGGCTGAAGTAGGAAAATCACTTGAACCCAGGAGGAGGAGGTTGGGGTGAGCTGAGATCGCCCCATTGCACTCCAGCCTGGGAAACAAGAGCGAAACTCTGTCTCAAAAAAAAAAAAAAAAAAAAAAAAAAGAGAGAGAGAGAGAGAAGAAGTGGAGTAAAGTAAGAATTTTTAAAAAAATTATCCTAAAGGGAAAAAAAAATCTTACATAAAATTTAAATTCTAAGTTCCGGGGTACATGTGCAGGATGTGCAGGTTTGTGACATAGGTAAATGTGTGCTATGGTGCTTTGTTGCACCTATCAACCCATTACGTAGGTATTAAGCCCAGCATGCATTAGCTAAGGAAAAAAGAATCTTGATACAGTATTCTGCCTACTGCCTCCTCTTCTTTCGTGCTTCCACCACCATGGTCTGGCTTCTTTGTCCACAACCACCTTG